TTTTTAAGTGATCATGACTGATCTTTGAAAACTTTTTATCAGAAGTTATATCTTATTTATTTATGAGAGAGGGGAGAGGGGGAGAGAGAGAGAGAGAGAGAGAGAGCGAGCGAGCCAGGGAGGGGCACAGAGAGAAGGAGAAAGAATCTCAAGGAAGGACGTGGGGCTCGAACCCACGAACTGTGAGATCATGACCTGAGCTGAAATCAAGAGTTGGACACTTAACTGACCAAGCTACCCAGGCACCCCAGTTATATCTTCTTTAAATTAATATCTAGGTATTCATTATTCCACTATTAACATTTGTTTAGTTATTACATTAAATCTTTATATGAAGAATTTTTGTGCTTTTAGTTAGGTGAAGCTGTTTCTTTTTTTAACATTTTATTTGTTCAAAGTATAGTTTCACACATTTACCAGTATTTATTTCAATTTTGATTTTCCGAGTTCTCTAGAACCAGATCCTGGTGAGTAATCAAGTTATTTCCAAGCAATAATGTAAGAGACACTGTATTTTCTTAAGTTTATTTATTTTGAGGGTGGCGGAGGGGCAGGGAGAGAGGGAGAGAGAACCCCAAGCAGGCTCAGCACTGACAGTGCCCCACTGTGGGGCTCAAACTCAGGAACCATGAGATCATGACCCAAGCTGAAGTCAAACTCTTAACTGACTGAGCCACCGCAGGCACCCTGACACGCTTTATTTTCTAATGTTACTTTCATTTATTACTTATAGTAAACCAAGTGGTACCTTGTTGGCTTAATTTTATCCAGAGGAATGGAATAATGAAATTTGTTACTATAAAGAAGTTTAGAGAGGCTCCTGGCTGGCTCATTTGGAAGAACATGTGACCCTTGATCTTAGGATTGTGATTTCAAGCCCCATGTTAGGTATAGAGGTTACTTAAAACTTTAAAAAATTTTATTTCTTAAAAGAACTTTAAAGGTTATCTAGTGTTAATTATTTTTTCCATTCCATTTACAAGGCACATCTTTAAAATCTTAAAGGACGTCAGTAGAAGCATGCAGAAGCAGGATGACTTTTAACCCCACATGGTCTCCTAAGGGCTCATATATTATAGTGTTTCTGTTCAAGGACAGCTCCTCTGGTCTTTTTCCTCCCAAAGTTTTACAGTAAAATAGTGAGAGAACGGCTTACCTCTCACTGGCTTGTTTCCTCTGGCTCAGAAGATGATGAATTCTAATTATCTTTGGCTCCACTGTAGTCTCTTTCTTTGAGAGACAAACTTGATACCATGTTTCGCTAGTTGTGACAGACTGTTTTACTTTTTGACATCTTTGGAAGGGATATGTCTTTTATCCAAAGATGCCTTCATATTTTTGTTGGCCAGGGTGGAAGTCTTGCTCTCTTTGTCATTGCCTGTGCATTGTGAACTTAGTTGTATCCCTAGTGTCATGTAGTTGCAGCCTCTTGATGTTTCAATCAGTAAACTATTTAAGTGCCTTTGGAAGAAAGAATGTGAGGACTGATTGTTATCTAAAAATCTTGTAGCATCTGTGTTAAGATCAAGACAGTATCAGTATTATAATTGGAAAACAGGAGTCTATGGTTTCAAAGAAAATTTTGGTGACAGTAGTAGGGGAGCACTCTTTTAAGAAATGCTGCATCACCAAAGCTTTTAATGGCCAGAGAATGATGTCCTGTGGAAAAACACAGACATTAGATAACTGAGTGACAAAGTGTTTCAGAAGTGTTCAACTTAAATACCAAAAGGCGTTTAATTTCTTACGTATGCACAAGGAGAATGGATACATATTAACCATCTTTGTCTGAATGTGTCCAAAAGAGCTCTTTAAAAAGGTGTAAGAATTCAAAATGATAAAATCTTGTCATAGTTTAATTGGCAGATTTTCTTCCTTAATGGAACATAAGATAGTGGTGCATCTTAAAAGGCATCCTAGATTTGACAAAATGTGGTAGATCAGACTATTCTTCTAGAGTGGTAGTGATGACCAGTATAAAGTTCTCTTTTTATACAAAACATATTTTCTGAACCCTGAGCCTTAGGGTTATTTAATTACTTAAGTAGTAATTAGTATCACTTTTTACTTTTGTTTTTTCTTAAGTAAAACATAGCAACAATCTACTTAGGAAAATTACCATATACAGGCTGATACCTGCTTTATCTTTTCATCATCATTTCCAAGGTTAGATAATAGATCCCTAAGAAATCTCCCATATACTGATACAATTTTGGTACTTTATTGCATCTGTAAAAATAATCCATTCATTTAAAAAATTCAAACAGTATGAAAAATACAAAAAAAGTAAAAAATACTTGAAACTCCACCTTTCTCACTGATGATGTCTCTCCAGATACTTCTTGTGCAGCTATTTGTATGTGGAAGTGGATGTATACTTTCTGTAAAATTGCTTACCTCTCATGTTTAGCAACTTGCCTTTGTTCCATTCAGTGTTATATTATAGCTGTTGTTACATCTGAAATATTAATTGATTAGTTATTGATTTTAATGGCTGCATAATTTTCCATTGTAGAACTGTGCTGAATTATTTAAGCAGGTTCCTGTTAATGGACATTTATGGTCATTCAGTTTTCTTTACTCTAAATAGTGTGTTGATGAATATTTTTGTGTATGCATATTTTTTATTTTATAAAATTATCTCCTTATGATAAATTCTTAAAAGTAGGATTTGGACATTATATATTGAAATTTTTATTAGTAGCTTTTAAAAGTTTGGTATTTTTTTAAAGGGTAATAGATGCAGTTTTGCTGAAGCAATGATAATATATAATATTGAAATGTCTTTTAAAAACCTACTTAGTATTTTAAGATCTGATTCCTAATTTTTAAACAAATGATCTTGGCTCCTGTAGCATACTTGGAAACCTTTCATTTATAATAAATGGAAGTGCAAAGTTATTCAACCAAAGAAAGAAAATAGAAGAGTTAAAGTACTAAGTACAAAGAAAAATATAGAAAATGGAAGGAAGGGAGGAAGGGAGGAAAGAAAGAAAGAAAGAAAGAAAAGGAAAGAAAGAAAGAAAGAAAGAGAAAAAATGGAAAAGTTAATGTACTAAGTATAAAGAAAAATAAACTGATGGAAAGATAGGAAAACTGGAAAGGGTAATAGAATGATTCAGATAAAGAAAGGGCTTTGGAAACAGACCTAGATTTGAATCCTGATTTTGCCTCTTAGTGCATGACCTTGGGGAAGCTTTTTGATTTCTCCAAGTTTGTATGTCCCCCTCTAAGGATAATAACATATCACATAGTTGGTGTGAGGATTAAATAATAGGAATAATTATAGCTAACATTATTGAATTCTTACTATCTGTGGCAGGCATTTTATTAAATGTTTATATGTATTTTTTCACTTGGCTAATACTTATCTTAATTTTCACAAACTTGCGTGATGTTAATATGTTTTACTGATAAGGAAACTAAAACAGAGAGATTTTTTAAGTTGCCTCAGGCAACATAGTAAGTGGCAGAATCAGAATTTGAACTTTGTCTGACCAGTAGACAAAGAGCCTGCAGTGTAAAACACTATTCTATGTGTATACAAAACACTTAGCACAGTGCATAGCATATGTGAGTTAATATACATGTTGAGGCTATCTTTTAAAAATAAGCATGTCAAGAGAATGAGAAGACAAGCCACTGACTGGGAGAAAATATTTGCAAAAACATATCTGATAAAGGATTGTTACTCAAAATATATAAATAACTCTTAAAACTGAGCAATTAGAAAATCAACAGTTTCATTAAAAACTGAGCCAAATATGGGGTCCCTGGGTGGCTCAGTCGGTTAAGTGTCCGACTTTGGCTCAGGTCATGATCTCATAGTTCCATGAGTTTGAGCCCCGCATCATGCTACGTGCTGACAGCTAACACCTGGAGCCTGCTTCGGATTCTGTGTCTTCTTGTCTCTCTGTCCCTCCTTGTTCGTTCTCTCTCTCTCTCTCTCAAAAATAAATATTAAAAAAAAATTTTTTTTTAAATAAGCCAAGTATCTGGACAGACACCTCACTAGAGAAGGTGGCCAGTAAGCATATGAAAGGATGCTTATATTATTATATATTAGGAAATTGCAAATTAAAAAAGGAGAAACCACTGCATACCTTTAGAATGACAAAAAATTCATACTGACAACACCAAGTGCAGGCGAGCATGTGTGGAGCAACAGGAACTCTTGTTCATTGCTGGTGGGAATGCAAAATGGTACAGTTTGCAATTTCTTATAAAACTAAACAGAGTCTTACCATATGATCTAGAAATTGTGTTCCTTGGTGTTTACCCAAAGAAGTTGAAAACTTAGGTCCACACAAAAACCTGCACATGGATGTTTATAGCAGCTTTACTCATAATTGCTAACACTTGGAAATATCCAAGATGCTTTCAGTGGATGAATGGATAAACAAACTGGCACATCTATATGTAATGGACTATTTAGTCCTAAAAAGAAATGAACTATTAAACCATGATAAGACATGAAGGAAATTTAAATGCATGTTACTAAGTGAAGGAAGCCAATCTGAAAAGGCTACATACTGTATGATTCCAGTTATGTGATAATTCTAGAAAAGCTAAACTGTGGATGCAGTGAAATGATCACTGGTTGATAGTGGTTAGGAAAAAGGGAGGGATGAATAACCTGAGCATAGAGGTTATTTAGAGCAGTGAAACCATTCTGTATGATATAATGGTAGATACATATCATACATTTGTCAAAACGCATAGAGTACACACTAAGAGTGAATCCTAATGTAAACGTGGTCTTTGGGGATGATGTGTCAATGAAGGTTCATCAGTTGTAACAAATGTACTACTGTGGGGCAGGATGTTGATAATGGGAGAGGCTGTGCATTTGTAGGGGCTGGGGCTACATGAGAACACTCCAGCTTTGCTGTGAACCCAAAACTACTCTAAAAAGATAAAGTTTATTTTAAAAAGAAAATAAAATTTAAAAAGTCAAGTATACATTATAAGTGTGACACTTGTGATGCTTTCATTTTTAGGCTCAGAATAAAGAGACCAATGTTTTAGCTGCTGCAAAGGTGATTGACACGAAATCTGAAGAAGAACTTGAAGATTACATGGTTGAGATTGATATATTAGCATCTTGTGATCATCCAAATATAGTCAAACTTCTAGATGCCTTCTATTATGAGAACAATCTTTGGGTAACTATTTTCTATTGATATTATTATAAGAGCCAAAATGAGTTAATTGTCTGAAAGAGATTTCTAAGTTGTGGTAGTCTATTTTATGTATTATCTCCTCTGTTTTATTACTTATGTTACTTGAATGGGAGTTGATCTGAGGAGAGGGGTCATTAACAACATAATTATCCTAGCTTCAGCAGATGTTCAGATGAATATTTCAAGTGTTTATTTCTGAGAGAGACAGAGACACAGAGCATGAGCAGGGGAGGGGCAGAGAGAGGGGGAGACACAGAATCCGAAGCAGGCTCCAGGCTCTGAGCTGTCAGCACAGAGCCCGACGCGGGGCCCAAACTCACGAACTGTGAGATCATGACCTGAGCCGAAGTTGGACGCTTAACCAGCTGAACCACCCAGGCGCCCCTCAAATGAATATTTCAAATTGTACAGTATTTCATGATTGTTTGACATTGGACCCAAATGGAGAAACTTGGTTAAGAATATTAAATTTTCTAAATTATGAAATTAAATGAGTTCTCTTGTTTGTAATTTAAATTTAGGCATTTAAATTTTTTGGAAATTTGTTTTCTTAGAAATTGTTTTAAATTTCTTATCCTAAACTTTTTGTAAATCGTAATAAATTACAGAATACTTATTAGAAATATTAAATAGGGCGCCTGGGTGGCACAGTCGGTTAAGCGTCCGACTTCAGCCAGGTCACGATCTCGCGGTCTGTGAGTTCGAGCCCCGCGTCAGGCTCTGGGCTGATGGCTCAGAGCCTGGAGCCTGTTTCCGATTCTGTGCCTCCCTCTCTCTCTGACCCTCCCCCGTTCATGCTCTGTCTCTCTCTGTCCCAAAAATAAATAAACGTTGAAAAAAAAATTAAAAAAAAAAAGAAATATTAAATATTTATTTTCTATTCACCAGACTCACCTTTGAATAGTAGTAGCTAAGGCTGAATATATAAATTTTGTTCATTTTTAGAAAACATTAGGCACAAGTGCATATAGAAATAAAATATTTATTATAATAGCTGGTCAACCATTTGCTCCAAACTGACACTCATTTAATCAAGATGGCTTTCTGAAATGGAGTTTGTTTTTTCCTTGAAGGACAGTGTTATGAGAGAAATGCTAAGAGTATGTAGTAGAAGTAATATCTGATTGGAAATCAAAAGCCCTATATTTTTTGATCCTGGTGTTGCTATGTTGAAGAAGTCAGTTAACCTTTGAGTGTATTTACTCATCTATAAGATGAGTAATGACCTATTTTTCAAATGATATAATGAATTTGAAAACCACCTGTAACTGGCAAACACCTGTAAAAAAATAAGAGTGTTGTTATACAAAAGGGAAAAAGCAGGAAGCTACACAATTTGACAAGCTAAGTAATTAAAAAAACTATCTTATAATTATCATCAGTGTGGTGTCCTCTAATATAGTTGTTCAGGGCTCTAGCAGAATGTTCCCGGAGATTCTAATGAAAATGAATTGCTAGATAATAACCAGATAAGATCTTTACTTGAGATTGTTGCAAAATAAAAAGTTGGACAACTGTGAGATATAGTCTAGTGGGAGAGATTGATATTAATTATCTATAATTAATAATTCAATGAATTATATATATAAAATTACAACTGTGATGGGATAAGAGAGAAATGTACATGGTGGTATATACCAGGGAGATCTGGGAAGGCCTCCCTCAGGATGTAATCACTGAACTATGATTTGAAGCTTTGTGTATGTCTGTCTGTGTGTGTGTGTGTGTGTGTGTGTGTGTGTGTGTGTGTGTGTGTGTATGTATGTGTGTCTGTGTGTATTTTAACTAAAAGAAGTCTCTTAAGTATTTTTAGGATTTATTCCTATTAGTAAAGTTAAAAAATAGATTTGGTCACTTAAAACACAGTAGTTACATTAAAAATGAGTATAATAAAATCTGTCGGTGGTAATGAGATGGATATATAATACTGTCCTGAATAAAAATTGTGTACCTAGTAATTTTAGAGAAGCAGGGACACTAAAAATGGTGATTTAAAAATGCACATATGTCTACAATGTGTTCTCTTTGTGCTTTCTCAAAATGTATATCATTAAGACTCTTAACTCTTTAAACAAAAAAAACCCTTTATGGTCAGTGTAATATTGTTTCCATAACCTAGTTATTTATCTTTTTGCTAAATTGAAGAAAAAATACTCACTGTCATGTTAGACACATGCTTTTTTTGTTTGCCTGCAGATCCTCATTGAATTTTGTGCAGGTGGAGCAGTGGACGCTGTGATGCTTGGTAAGCATCTTTTTATTCTTTATTTTGTTTATTTTATATTTTAAGTTATTCTTAAAGGATTTAAAACATTTATACATATATATCTTATTGAGTGAAGTTCAATAAATTAAGAAATCAGCTTAATTACATTTTATACTTTTAAATAATCGTTACAAAATTTCTAAAATGAAATGTTAAATATATGAGGAAAAGTAATCTTTGCAGATATTTAGTTCTTCTAAAATGAATTCATTGTAAAAAAAATAAATTCATTACGTGCAGTCTTTGACAGTGATGGTAAAGATATATATATTATATTGCCGATGTGTTTTCACTAGATAACAGTGCAGATTTGTTTACCCTTTCCTTACAGAACTTGAGAGACCATTAACTGAGTCCCAAATACAAGTAGTTTGTAAACAGACTCTAGAGGCTTTGAACTACTTACATGATAATAAAATCATCCACAGAGATCTGAAGGCTGGCAACATTCTTTTTACCTTAGATGGAGATATTAAGTTGGGTAAGTTTCTTCCCTTAAATAAAACATTTGAATTTGTGCTGAGACTTTGCTCTATATGTATGTGACTTAATACTGTTTAGTTATGGCTTAAATATGTAAAACATGGAGAATTACTCCATGTTAATTTTTTAAATATTTAAATATAAATAGTGGATAAATAATTATTCATTAACTCCCATAGTATAGATAACTAATGTAAAGATGCTTCAAAAAGAAAGGATGGATTTCATTTTCAAAAAGACAAGCTTTAAAAAGACTGGTTGGGGTGCCTGGGTGGCTCAGTTGGTTAAGCATCCAGCTCTTGATATGTCAGACTAACTTAGTTTTATCTTCATTTCCAAAACTCTAGTGGGTTTCTTTTCCCATGTTTAGTTTTATACTTTATTTTATAAGTATGGAATCTTAGCTAAGCTAACAAAGTAGATCTGAAATGGATGCCTAAAATAAGTATTGAGGACTAGAATTTTTAATTTTGTTTTTTACACTGAGGAAATAAATAACTTCATAAGAAGAAATAGATGTAGATTTTAGATGGAAAACGGATTAATTTCGTATGTACACACATACAAATGGAAGATACAGCCCTCTTTAAGTGCCCCCAAGATAGGACTTTTTAAAATATTTTTAATGTTTATTATTTTGAGAGGGAGAGAGACAGAGCACAGCAGGCGAGGGGCAGTGAGAGAGGGAGACACAGTCTCCAGGCTCTGAGCTGTCAGTACAGAGCCCAACACAGGGCTCGAACTCACAAACCATGAGATCATGACCTGAGCCGAAGTCGGGTACTTAACCAACTGAGCCACCCAGGCACCTTGTAGATACAAATTAAAAAATATATATATCTAGTGCTGAAGGGGCGCCTGGGTGGCTCAGTTGGTTGAGCATCTGACTCTGGATCACAGCTCAGGTTATGATTTCATAGTTTGTGAGTTCAAGCCCCATGTCTGGCTGTGTGCTGACAGCGCAGAGCCTGCTTGGAATTCTCTCTCTCCCTTCTATCCTCCCTCTCTTTCTGCCCCTCCCTTGCTCATGCTCACTTGTTTGCTCTCTTTAAAAATAAATTAAAGGGGCGCCTGGGTGGCGCAGTCGGTTAAGCGTCCGACTTCAGCCAGGTCACAATCTCGCGGTCCATGAGTTCGAGCCCCGCGTCAGGCTCTGGGCTGATGGCTCGGAGCCTGGAGCCTGTTTCCGATTCTGTGTCTCCCTCTCTCTCTGCCCCTCCCCCGTTCATGCTCTGTCTCTCTCTGTCCCAATAATAAATTTAAAAAAAAATAAAATAAAATAAAAATAAATTAAAAAAACGTAAAAAAGATAAGTAAAAATCTAGTGATGAAGTCTAAATTTGTGTAATTTGGAAGGACATGGAAAGGACAGAATATATTTAAAAGCCATCTTGATACCAGTGATCATAGTCATTTCACTTCACTTTTTTCATGACATCAAACAGGTATAATTTGATATACTAAATTTTAATCTTTTTATTATGAAATAAAGATACAGAAAACCACAAGAAATTGTGTAGCTTAGTGATTCTGTAGCATTGTAGATGATAGCTTTGTAACCACCACCTAGGTCAAGAAATAAAACTTTGTCAGGCACCCCAGCAGCTCTTCCATGTGTCCCATCTGAATCACTGTCCCTCTCTTCTCCACAGGTAACCTTTATCCTGACTTCTATAGTAATTACTTCCTTGCCTTTCTCTTTGGCTCTATCACCCAGTGCTCATCTCTCAAGTTTAGATGTGCTCATATTTGAAATCTGATTTTCTTTTTAAGTCTCTTAATTTATAGGTCTCCCCTACCGGCCATCTCTTTCTTTTCTGTACATTTTATTTATGGTGTGCATTCCCATGAGTGCCAAAATTGGTTCTTTGGGGGCAAAAAAGATCTTAGATATTACAATGCTTAGTAACTCTGCAAAGGCCCATGCTGCACAAACAGTATATCTGTGGTGTTAAAATTCCGTGGGGGATAAGAGGATTAGGAAAAAAATGTCTAAAAAGGCTCCTTAGGAGCATGATGATGAAAAAAAGGTTGAGAAACACTGATCTATGAGACCTGAGTGTTGGACCTGTAGAGTTTCCCTCAACCTGCATTTTGCTAATTGCATATTCATGATCATTTGTAGTAAGTTCCTCTGTGTATTTCCTTCAGATTTGCAGATAAATAAGGTCTCAAGTTTGATTGTTTGGCAAGACTATATATAGGTGGTTTTGTGTCCTTTCATTGGGCGGCACATATGTTTTGCTTTTATTGTATTGTATTGTATTTATTAGCAGCTCTTGATGCATAATGCCTAGATCTGTTCTTTGAGTTGAAAAATGAATTGTCACTTTGTTTTCGTTTATTTTTTGATAATAATTTTGATAGAATTATTCACCAATTATTTCATTATTTTTATTTATCCTTATTATAAAATTAGGAATAATTATATGAAATGACACTTCCCTTCAACTGTTTGGTTATTCAGGAGTGTAGTTCATATGGACAAGACAGGAAAAATGCTTGATTCCTTCTTTTTATTTATGTAACTTGGAAGACCATGAATTGGTTCTCTCTCATCCTCAATTAGTGACCAGTATTTTTAAAAATATTAATTCATAAATTTAATTTTATAGATTTCAAATCTATAATTTTTTTAATGTTATTTATTTGAGAGAGAGCATACATGTGTGCGTGTAAATTGGGAAGGGAGGGAGGGAGAAAATTCCAAGCAGGCTTCATGCTTAGCACATAGCCTGATTTGGGGCTCGATCTTGCCATCATGAGATCATTACCTGAGCCGATAACAAGAGTTGGGTGCCCCCAGATCTATAATTTTTATCCTTATTGAAGCTTAACATTGTACCATCTTTGGTCAATGGGAGCCTCTTCATGTTGGTATATTAATCTTTTTGATATGACTTTAGTAGACTTTGATAGCTTCGTTATCAACATCATATAACAAGATGTTTCAGGCTTGTCTTCTATATTTCTTGCCTCCAACCTGTAATTAGCCATTTCTTTAAGAAGTCCTGGTTTCTTTTAGTAGGATATGGTATTTCAAGATTATATCTGGGGTACTTGGGTGGCTCAGTCAGTTAAGCATCCGACTTCGGCTCAGGTCATGATCTCACATCTCCTGAGTTCGAGCCCTGCATCAGGCTCTTTGCTGATAGCTCGGAGCCTGGACCCTGTTTCCAGTTCTGTGTCTCCATCTCTCCCTCCCTCCCTCCCTCCCTCCCTCCCTCTCTCTTTCTCCCCCGTTCCTCCCTCCCTCCCTCCTCTGCTCACACTCTGTCTCTGTTTCTCTCTCAAAAATAAACATTAAAAGAAAAAAAAGACTGCCTCTGAATGTTAGAGGTACTTAACAGTTTATGGATTGGTCATCATTCTGGGCCTTTCTAGAGGACAAAGCTAGGCTGTCATATGAGTTCCTACATATTTTCTGATCAAATTTAGGATAAGATGTGTTTTATTTTCTTTTTAACCTAACCACTCCTGTATTACATGTATATCTCCTTCTATCCTCAGAGTCCTGGTTCTTAAGGACATTGATGATAGATTTATAATATCCCATAATTACTCATTTTATTCCTGTTTTCATACGTTTAATGCTCATCACTGGTCCTTAATGTTAGTATTCTCTGTGATCATGTTGGTTGTCTGAAGTTCATTCTCTGGTAGATAACTCTGGAAGGGCTCTCCAAGTTCTTATATAATAACAGTTCCACCCATATTTATACTTTGAAGGTCGGTTTTGCTGGATAGAAAATCCTTGGCTTACATTTTGTTCCTTGAATCTGAAATATCTTACTCTTATTTTTCTGTTCTAAGTGTTGTTGTTGGAAAGTCTGATGATAATCTGATTTTATGTCTTTTTCAAGTTATGTGCTCTTTTTGCCTAGATGCCAAAGAATTTTTTTCTTCAAGGACTAATAATTTGACTATACTTTTCTCTAAATATGCTCTTATAATATTTATGCTTTTCACACTGTAGGAAAAATGTTTATGTCAGTTAATTGTAGCATGTAGTACTAGTTGTTTTGAAGTGGGTAGACTGGTTTATTTTAAAGTTACTTTTTTTTAATCAGTTCTGAAGTATTCATGATCTGAAGATGTATAAAGGAGGTTAGTATATTAATGATGGGATATTTTATTTGACAGTTATTTTGGAGGGGGTTGTCAAAATTAGGATGGTAGAGAAGTTACTCTTTCTGTTTTGTTTACCCTTTAATAAGAGTGGCCTTGTTAAAGACTTGAAATGCTTTTCCCTGTGTTAAATACAGTGAGCTTTGCTAAAAAAAACTATCATTAATACTTTTGTATCATTGCTTATTTCAAGCGGATTTTGGAGTATCAGCTAAAAACACAAGGACAATTCAAAGAAGAGATTCCTTTATTGGCACACCATATTGGTATGTATTCATCTTTATGGATGTACTACTGTATTAGTTATGTTAGAAGCTATTATCACTCATTAACTTATCTACATAATTGATTATACTGTCTATCTTTTATGTGACTTGCAATCAATATTCTTAAGCTAAACATCTTAACTTTCAATTCTCTGTCTGTACAGGATGGCTCCTGAAGTAGTCATGTGTGAAACATCTAAGGACAGACCCTATGACTACAAAGCTGATGTTTGGTCCCTGGGTATCACTCTAATAGAAATGGCTGAGATAGAACCACCTCATCATGAATTAAATCCAATGCGAGTGCTGCTAAAAATAGCAAAATCTGAGCCCCCTACATTAGCACAGCCATCAAAATGGTAAAATATTCTAAACAAAACCTTATACAAAGCAATACTTGATGTTTTATTCTTTGACCTTTTCAAGGGTAGATTTAGTTACATGGTACAAAGACTGTAATGAGTAGAAAACTTGATTTTTGGTACTTTTTTTTTTAAGAGTTAAGGACCATAGTTGTGCCTGGGTGGCTCAGTTGGTTGAGCATCCAACTCTTGATTTCAGCTCAGGTCATGGTCTCACGATCATGGGATTGAGCCCTGCTAAGCATGGAGCCTGCTTGGAATTCTCTCTCCCTCTCCCTCTGCCCCTACCCCACTCATGTGCATGTACTCTCTCTCTCAAAATAAATAAATACTCATTAAAAAAAAAAGAGTTAAGAACCATACAAACTCTTATAACTAACTCTTCTTATAAATTTGAAATCAGTGATTTGAGTTCTACACGAAACAACTGTATGTAGTACAGTATTTACTATGAGAAAGTGAGGCATATATGTGGTTGATTTATATTTGTGGAATTTAATGTAATAGAAGAGTTTTGTGATTTTTGGCATATATGACTGTATCACAGTGGCTAAAACTATGACTCTACTTATATTTAATTTTGTATTTATCTTAATATTATTTTGAAATCTTGGTATTCTCATTAACTACTTATGTTGAATTAATACAATTACATACATCATAAAATACAAGCATAACTTATCAGAATTTTGTTTGATTTTAATAACAAAGTAAAATAGAATGTCATTGTTAAAATTTCATTTTGAAGGTCTTCAAATTTTAAGGACTTTCTAAAGAAATGCTTGGAAAAGAATGTGGATTCCAGGTGGAATACATCTCAGCTACTGCAGGTAAGATTAGAGTAATATGACAACAGCAAACTGTGTAATTATTTTAATATCTCATTGAGAAGAGTACAATTTCAGATTCAGTGTATTCTCTTTTCACTGGAGTTTCCCTATGGAAACTCAGAATACATTGTAAAATATGTTGTACACATACAATGTGTACAACATACTTGAATACAAGTAAACATTTGCTTTATAAACATATATGCTGCTTTACTAAAAGGCATTTAGCTTATAAGTCATTCCTTTTGTGCTTTTTTGATTTCAGTTTGTGTTCTTTTTATTTTGTTAGTTATTCCACTTTGTTAGTTACTTGCAGTTTTTCTCTCCAGTTACTAGAAAGCAAGCCCCTTGGGCGCAGGGGTCATGAGCTAATTGATTTTTTTTTAATATTTCTTACAGTGAGGATAATGTTCAGTAAATATTGCTGACTTTTTTAAAAAAAAGTGTTAAAGTGATTAGATAATTTTGTTTTATAGCAGGACCTATTTGTAACATTTGAAATAGGAATTTGTTACATAATATAGGTGGACAAACAAAATGACAAATCTTGAGGCACTTACTGTTAGGTTGAGTTACTGTATAATTCCTGCATTACAGTGTATTAAGTTGATCTGTTTATCTCAGGGGAAAAAAGCAGAAGAAATTGCCTTCTTCTGTGCAACAGTACATCCCTAGAACACACTTTCTCTTATTATTTTTTTACCCTCACTTTAGAAGGTCTTAGTCTGTGACAGACACTGTTAAATGCTGCTGAGTATACAAAGGTGAATAAAATTTTTTCTTACTCTTAAGAGTGTTAGAACCATGTCAAGAAAGCAGTTATTTGCAAGACTCTAAACAAAACTCTAAGGCTTTTTGTAAACATTTTATTAAGGATTATACAGGATTTAAACATACTGTTGTTACTTTTAAAGAACTAAAAATGTACCAGTTTGAAACTTTTAAAATATAATTTAATTTTTTTTTTTCAACGTTTATTTATTTTTGGGACAGAGAGAGACAGAGCATGAACGGGCGAGGGGCAGAGAGAGAGGGAGACACAGAATCGGAAACAGGCTCCAGGCTCTGAGCCATCAGCCCAGAGCCCGACGCGGGGCTCGAACTCACTGACCGTGAGATCGTGACCTGGTTGAAGTCGGACGCTTAACCGACTGCGCCACCCAGGCGCCCCTAAAATTTAATTTTAATTTAACTTAATTTAATTTAAAATTTCAAACATACAGAAACGTATATGCACCTATTATCCAGATATGTGGTACCATTTTTGACCTATTTCCTTCAGATTCTTTAAAAAAGATGTATAGTTGTAGGCAGTCCCTATTCCTGCTCAATCCCCTTCTTCTTCCTTGCCCAGATGTAACATCATCTGAAGCTTTTTATATTTTTCTTACTCATGTGTTCATATTTTTACCGCATAATAATGAGTATTTTTTGTGTTTGAAATTTTATAAGCCAGCATTTCAGCTGTTAGTAAGTGTGTTCTTCTTAATGATCAAACAGCATCCTTTTGTTACGGTTGATTCCAACAAACCAATTCGAGAGCTGATTGCAGAGGCAAAGGCTGAAGTAACAGAAGAAGTTGAAGATGGCAAAGAGGAAGATGATGATGAGGAAACAGAAAATTCTTTGGTCAGTATTTAGAAAGGAAATGTCATTTAGGTAATATTGAGGGTTGGGTTTTTAGGTGTGATTGCACCTGTATGTAAGGATTAATTGTAATCGATAGCAGTACAAAAGTGTTAATTTTAGGGGCGAAGATTAACAAGTTTGCTCCTTGCTCACCATTTTTGTCCTATTTATTATGTGAAGATTTGTCAGTTCTTTATTTTTATAACTTCATCAAATTTTAATTGAGATACTAAATCATGTATGTTTGTTTTAAATATTTTTATTTATATACAAAATATAGTTTTGGTCACTGTCTTGAAGTTACGTTTTAACATTAAAAACGTACAAAATCTTTTTCAGCCAATACCTGCAAGTAAGCGTGCCTCTTCTGACCTTAGTATTGCCAGCTCTGAAGAAGATAAACTTTCACAAAACGCTTGTATTTTGGAATCTGTTTCTGAAAAAACAGAACGTAATACTTCTGAAGATAAATTTAACAACAAAGTTCTTAATGAAAAACTTACCACAGATGAACCTGAAAAAGCTGCAGAGGATATTAATGAACATATTAATGATGCTCACTTAGAAGCTATGGCTGAACTTGATAATAGGACAATAGTAATCAAGGAAAATGGCAGAGAGGAGAAGAGACCCAAGCTTGAAAGTCTGCCTGATACAGAAGACCAAGAAACAATGGACATTAATTCAGTCAATGAAGGAAAAGAGAATAATATAATAACTTTAGAAACAGATATTGAACAGAGTCTGAAACCTGAGGAAGAAAAGGATCAAGAAAAGCAACAGATATTTGAAAATAAGATTATAAAATCTGAAGAAATTAAAGATACTGCTATTCAAACAATGGACTTAGTTTCTCAAGAGACTGGAGAAAAAGAGGCAGACATTCAGGCAGTTGAAAATGAAGTTGCACTTACAAAGGAAGACACCCAAGAGAAATTGGGAAAGAATGACAAAACTCCAGAAGAAGTGATCAGCCATATAAGCGATGTCATAGGAACAAATGAGGCAAGAGACGTTGCCCAGAAGGCAGTTGAAAACAATGCTGAGGATGCTCAGAGTAATGATGGGAATGAAGTGGTTGAAGTAGACCAGAAATTAGTAAGTAAGCTCACAGAGGGTCCTGAGGCTGGTGGTTCTGAGGAAGTTCCTTTTAAAGACATAGTGGAAACTAAGGAGATAGATCAGAAGTCTTTGGAAGATAAAGATGAAGAACAGTCACTCAGCAGTTTAGAGAACATAGTGAAAACCAGTGAGGAATCTGGCACAAATGAAGGTGAGGAAATTACTGAGTCCAGTAGCACTGAAGAAATAGAGGTCAGACATGCAGTAATTTATACTGACCAAGAGGCTTTAGGAAATGAAACTCCAGATGCTCATGAAGCTACTGCTCAGATAGATACAGAGCAAAAAGCGATTCCATGTGAAGTGCCAATTGAAAGAGAACCTCCCGTGACTTCCTCTTCACAGCCTAGTGAACCTCAGCCTGTTCCAATACCCAGTATAAATATCAACTCTGAAGATGCAGAAAATAAAGGGGAAATAGGTGCTTTATCAAAAACTGAAGCCATGTTGCTTCCAGAATCTGAGAATCAAAAGGAAAATGATACTGATTCAGGCACTGGTTCCACCGCTGATAATAGCAGCATTGACTTAAATTTATCCATCTCTAGCTTCCTAAGCAAAACTAAAGACAGCGGATCAATATCTTTACAAGTAAGTGTATGTGGGCCCTTCTTTGTCATTTTGGCAATTTGCAGTTTATGTGAAGTATGTTTTGAAAATAAAACACTAAATCAGTGTAGTACTGACCCTATAAGATTCGTAAGGCCTATGAAGGCAATCAACTAAAAACCCAAGGAGAGAGATAGATACTGGATGTAATCATAAATTTTTTGGTAATATCTACCTGTTTTTGCCAACTTGATGTAAACAGTGTAAGTTACTTGGTGTGGTTGGATTTTTTTATTGCACATATTTAAATATATTTTAGCAAGAATCCATAATCTATGAAAAAATTGAGAAATTGAAAGAATGATCTCTTTAAGCACTTTTAGGATGTAAACAGCCCTCGATTTACCAGTGGTCAATAGGGTTTTGCCGTCTTGGTCATAGTCCTCACAGCTGCCATGAGAACCGATGTGGGAAAGCAAAAAAAACAAAAAAATCAAAAACTAAAATGCAAAAACACTTGGAGCTTTTAGAGCCATTCTCAAATCTTAATGTGTTTAAGAGTTACCAGGGGTATGTATGATTAGGGTTGTTAACTAGACTTATGGTGATCATTTAGCAATATATGCAAATATTGGATCATTATGTTCTGTACTTGAAACTAACATACTATTATATATCAAGTATACCTCAACATGAATAAATTATTTAAAAACAGTTTTAGGGGGAGCTATGTAGAGGTCTAGGGTGGAACCCAAGAATCAGTATTTGTAACATAAGATTCCATGGATTTCTGATACAGGTGAGTCATGTATTACTTAGAGACTCTGGGTTGACAGCAGAAAAGAGTGGAACAACTTAGGAAACTGACCTTGGGAACAGGACTCCAGGGCATAATTGCAGCAAATTACTACACATATTGCATAGATTGTCTTCAGTTTTCAGTTTATTTTGTTTCACTGACTGGACTTCCATTAATCTGAAATTTATTCACTGACTTAATAGCCTTTTAAAAAAATCCGAATACTTTCTTGAGAATTAAGGTGATATTAATTGTGGATACTTTACTAAGAACTGAAGAAATAGAAAGTTTAGATTTTCAGTGTGGTAGATAATATTTTGGGAGCATGCCCACTTTAGATTTTAGGGGAAGCCTGGATAGGGTATCATAGTCCAGGGCTTAGGAAGAGGAGCGTGAGGATACTAGCAGCCTGGAGCGTAGAATAATAAGAGGTCGCAGAACCATGCTTGGAAAGTGCCAGAGACAAACTAAAATCTAATGCATTTTGAATTTAGTATTTTCACATTCCACTTTTGCTCCCTCTGCTTTTAAACCCCTTCCCCTATATCAAAACCAAGTAATTATCTGCTGTCAATACTTACATGTTTGCCAAACTGTGTTTTTTTGGAGTGTCATACTTCTGTTATTTCTATTTGGATTTGAAAAGCATTTGGATGAGGAATGGAATTTGGTCTTGATAAAGAATTGTAGGCAATAGCCATCAGGCAGTAGACACTTTATCTTTCTAGTAACTCAAGAATCACACATTCATCTCTGTTCCTGAGATGGAGGAGGGCTCTTGATAATATTGTTGCTGATGAAATGGATTTTGATTCCCAGTCCAGGCAGTGTTTAAAAATTACCTGGGGAGCCTTTTCAAAATTCAAATTCTCAGCCACCCTCAGACCTATTGATTTAGATTCTTTTAGGGATGAGCCCCAGGCATTCCTTTAAGTGTTTTGTTAGTGGTTCTAAAACTGAAAAGCCAGAGGTATCTGAGAAGTTACAAGATCAAAAGAAGAAGAAAAATGATTAACATGTAAAAGTTATACGAATTAGTCATTTATATGAATTGTTCTTTATGATTTGTGTCTAATTATGATGTGGTATAAAAATTATATGTGTACAGTTCTGTGTTTTGTTTTTTTTTTTTTTAAGAAGAAAATGTTTTCTGTCTCCAGTATTTTCCATATAAAGCCTAACTAAAATAAAATCTCACTCAGGAAACAAGAAGACAAAAGAAAACATTGAAGAAGACCCGCAAATTTGTTGTTGATGGCGTAGAAGTGAGTGTAACCACGTCAAAGATAGTTACAGATAGTGATTCCAAAACTGAAGAGTTGAGGTTTCTTAGGTGAGTAGAGAACATAATTAAAATCGTTTTTGTGACTTCTTTTCAGTTTTTGCAAAGTATAAGAATAGAAGCAAGAGTAAAGTCTTGGCTGATTATTCTTACTACTTTTCCATTTGAAAATAGTATTTTTTAAGTTTTTAAAAAAGTATTAGTTCAAAGGTGTAATTTTTTGCTGTCTTTCCCTGTTATTGATATTAAATTTTATCAGACGTCAGGAACTTCGGGAGTTAAGATTCCTTCAAAAAGAAGAGCAAAGAGCCCAACAGCAGCTCAATAGCAAACTGCAACAACAACGAGAACAAATTTTCCGGCGCTTTGAGCAAGAAATGATGGTAAAGTTTTAGATTTTGTATCCTTTTATTAACACTGAAATTTGATGCTTTAAAAAAATTCCACTAGCATGTTTTAGAACTTGTTTGATTATTAGATTTTCTCTGGCTTTGTCAGTATTTCTGGCCTTTATTTCTTCAGTGTTCTAGATGTTCTTTTTTTCCTCCCTTTTGCCTGAAAGGATTTTCTATCTTAGGCTTCCTGTCACTGACTTATAGTGTGATAGGTGTCTTCCATTTTCCTTTGGTTAAAATTTGTTGTGAAAACCTGGAATCATGAAGCTGGTAGATGGTTTACAAAGTTCTTAGGTGGGCCTATTTCTGGATACTTTTTTAGTGTTATAATTTGACCTCTCAGATTTAGAATCCAAGAATTTTTTTCCAAATGTTTATTTTATTTTTGAGAGAGTGCACATGAGCAGGGGTGGGGCAGAGCAAGAGGGAGACAGAGGACCCAAAGCAGGCTCCACGCTGACAGCAGAGAGCCTGATGTGGGGCTTGAACTCATGAACCGGGAGATCATGACTTAAGCTGAAGTCGGAAGCTTAATTGGCTGAGCCACCCAAGCACCCCTAGAATCCAAGATTAATTTTTTTAAGTTTGTTTTTTTTTTTAACGTTTGTTTATTTTTGAGACAGAGAGAGCACAAGTAGGGGAGGGGCAGAGAGAGAGGGAGACACAGAATCTGAAGTAGGCTCCAGGTCCGAGCTGTTAGCACAGAGCCTGATGTGAGGGCTCGAACTCACATACTGTGGGATCTTGACCTGAGCTGAAGTCGGATGCTCACCTGACTGAGCTACCCAGGAATTGTTGATTACATTTGTTGGATTGTAACAGAAAATTCTTAGGAAAATAATGAATTTTTGTTCTCACTGAGTATTTTTATAGTATTGAGCATTCTATTGTAAAGAACCTTATGAAAACTGCATCTCTTTCCCCAAAAAATATTTTCCAAAGTGTTTTGCTTTTTATTTTTTAAAATACCTTTTACAAATATTTAACTCCACCTGTATCCAAAATTATATTATACTCAAGTATTATGTAAGCAGGAATCTTTTTTGAAAGATTTATAATTTCAAAAGGTTTGTTTCAATAAAAGGATGTTTAAGAATCTTAATGAGGAAGAGTAAATCTGAATATGACAAGCAATTGTACATTATTAAAATAGACTTTGGGTAACACTTTTGATTTATCAAAAGTTTATTGGATAAATACTGAAGTTTGTCTTTAGTATTTTAGCACTTTAGTACTTTAGCAACTGGATATTCTTCTGGATGGTTTAACAATTCTGAACATTGGGGCGCCTGGGTGGTGCAGTCGGTTAAGCATCCGACTTCAGCCAGGTCACGATCTCGTGGTCCGGGAGTTTGAGCCCCGCGTCAGGCTCTGGGCTGATGGCTCGGAGCCTGGAGCCTGTTTCCTATTCTGTGTCTCCCTCTCTCTCTGCCCCTCCCCCGTTCATGCTCTGTCTCTCTCTGTCCCAAAAATAAATAAACGTTGAAAAAAAAAAATTAAAAAAAAATAATAAAAATAAAAAAAAATTCTGAACATTCTATAATAGAAAAAAGTATTTTTTGTGTAGAAAAAAATGAAATGCTCATATTTTTGAAAAATTCCTTAATGTGTTTATAGCATTCCACTTGTGCAGTACTACAAAGGTTGTATGTCATATCACTACGTTTAAATGCTGGTTATGTACTCTTCAATACGTGAGTGATAGACAAGTTAAATGATCCTGAGCCACATTATTTTACAGAGCAAAAAGCGTCAATATGATCAAGAGATTGAGAATCTAGAAAAACAGCAGAAACAGACTATTGAACGTCTAGAACAAGAACACACAAATCGCTTGCGAGATGAAGCCAAACGCATTAAAGGAGAACAAGAGAAAGAGTTGTCCAAATTTCAGAATATGTTAAAGAACCGAAAGAAGGAGGTAAATGTAACTACTACTTTTAATTATTAAAGGTTGTTTTTTTTTTAATGTACACTTAAGACTAAAGAATTAGGAATAATACTTGAGAGTTAAATAGCACCAATTTATTCTTTTTTTGTGGTCTTCCCAACAGTCATGTAGGGTAGTAGTAAGGTCAGGTGTTAATCTCATTTTACTACCAAGAAGGCTGTAATAGAAGAGCTTTTTAATGGTCCCTTCAAGTTTACAGACTATCATTAAATGTCCAGCTAAGCCTTGAACCAAGTTTTCAAACTAAGTCTAATCCATTTTCCTTCCAATCTATCATTTTCCTTTATTAGCAACAGTTAAAGCCTCTGTAGAATTTTCTTCTTTCATGAAAGCTCACCATGTTGTGTTTGTAGGTGGCAACAATAATTCATCTATTTATTTGTAATATTTAATTCATGCTTAAAATTTTTTTTCTTGGTTAGCTTGATTTCCTTTCATGAATGTTGTATTAAAACAAAAGCTCAGTACCCTGGAATTGGAAATAATATCTGTAAGTTCAACAAGTTGAGAACTACTTTGAAGAATCACATGTGAAAAATACCTGTGTAAAGTCATTTGATTACAATGAATTTTTAAATTTTTCCTAAAACTGTTCCATATTGTTATAGGATCTGTGCTATTACTTACTATGAAAGATTGTCATTGATTCAGAAAGAGGATTTATATATTGTAATAGTGTCTTATTTGCCCCCAAATTAAAACAAAAGAGTCTTACATATTAGCAGAAGTGGTTTTATGATTTATTCTATACTTTTAGTGTAGGGGAGAATTTACTTTTTCGTGATATGAAAGACCCCAGGGATAATCATTATGATTAGTTCTATTAGGATTAGAATAAAAATCTCAACCAAACTAGTAAATGCATTTTCACTTTAGTTATACATCTAAAGCACCCAAGTTAATTGACTTTAGCATTTAAATTGTGTATAAAACTGAACATCATATTGCTGAACTTGAGGATCTACTTTAAAAAGCATAGAATCGAACATTAATATAGTACATTCTATAATTTCTTTAAGTAAATAATGAAATGGTCTATAATTTTATTTGATGTGACTACCATTTCTAAAAATTAGTTTTGTTACTGTTTAATATTTCACATAGTGTTGCTCTGTTTACCATGATATATGATGTTACTGAGGCTCCATGTCAGTTTTCTTGAAACTAGGGGAAGTTTTTGTTGAGAGCTTATTTTTTAATATCAGGTTAAATTTTAAAAAATTTACAGATAAATATATGATTTAATCTTAAATATATAAAAGTTTGTAGTTATTTTTACGGTTTTTGAGCTTGGAGAGTTTTAGCTAGTAGACATATTTGAGATCGCAATATGCATATTTTAAATAACTATATTATGTATTTTTTTTTCCTTATTGCTAAATTTCTTGCATTTGGGGAGTCTCTTCCTTTTAATGGTGATTTGGTTTCATGAGGGATTACTGATGGGGAATTTTAAATACACTCTCTTCAATCAAAATCAGTCTCTTTCACAGACCATCAATAGCATGTGGTGATTTGGAATCTGATTGCTTTTGGTGCTTCTACTTGTGAACACATGATTGATTGTTTTTCATAGTTGGATTACAGATCTATTGTTAGGTGGAATACATATCTAGGATTTTGAAATAATTAAGGAGCTCCAAATTATACTTCATTTTATAATATACTTTATTTGGTATAATAAATCATAGCATACTACACTGTTACTTTATGAGTACTTTATAATATTGACTTTAAAGTTGACAAGTTTGGCTTACATTGTCAGCAAAGGAGAATGTTATTCTAATGCAACACAAAATCATCAGACATGTTTGTTTTTATCACACCGTATATAAAATGGTGTGTTTGATGAAAAAAGAAAACATAGTATCCATTTATTTCTCCTTTTGTTTTCTTTTGGTCTCATTAAATGAACTTAATTTAGACTTATTTCTTTGGTTTTAGCAAGCCAGTTACGAAATTTTGTACTTTTATAAATGGCATTGACTTTCGTTATTTTCAGCATTTCAAACAATGTCAGTAGATGTGTTCAGTGCTGCTAGTAATCCTTTACTGATTGTCTTTGGATCTTTAAGAGAGAGTAATATATAGGGATAATTAGGCATCTGATTAACCTTTATATGGTGTGATGTCCCTTTCTGCACCAAGATTTAGCATGTTCTATCCTTTCATTCTTTTTCACCAAACTAACACCTATACTATTGCATGTTGAAAGGAACTTTGTATCAGCTTTAATCTTTGACTTGTAGCTTGTCTGCTACATAAATGCTTGCTGTGGAGAAAGTATTATTTCCCCACCTCCTGCATGCTTATACACTGTAGGTTATAAATGAAGTGGAGAAAGCACCCAAAGAGCTGAGAAAAGAGCTCATGAAACGCAGGAAAGAGGAGCTTGCACAAAGCCAGCATGCTCAGGTAACAGCAGCAGCTTAATGCTACTAAAAACAGAAAGCAGCATTATTCTCGCAGCTCAATAAACCATGGTGGACAGGGTAAACTCCAACTGTAGTTATTATATGATGTTGATTTCTCCTAATACAAGGTTCCCAGGGCATTCTTTATGTAGAACTAAATTCACATGAGATGGTGACATTTCAGTTGCAAATATGAAATTAAGTGGAATGTTTGGAAAGCTGACTCCGGATGAAATAAACAAGGATGTTGATGTATAATTCACTGTATTCTTATTATAATCATGAGGGAAACTTATATACTTAAGTAGTAATGTCACTGATAGAAGACTTTTATGACAATATAGAGGTTGAGTGTGTAGGCTTTGTACACATGAAAAGAATGACTATTTAAAAGACCATTGTTGGGGCACCTAGGTGGCTCAGTTGGTTAAGCACCCAACTCTTGATTTCAGCTCAGGTCATGATCTCTCGGTTCGTGGGTTTGAGGCCCATGTCAGACTCAACGCTCTCAGCGTGGAGCCTGCTTGGTAGTCTCTCTCTCCCTCTTTGCCTCCCCCTCCTTGGCTCATGCTTGCTTGCTCTCTCTCTCAAAATAAATAAACTTAAAAAAAAATAAGGCCATTGTTTTTATAAAGTTGGGAGTTAAAAGAGAAACCATAAACGGTAATGTTAAATGGTAGATCAAACATTTATTTTACTATTAAACTCAATAACATAAGCAACTTAAAATCAGATTTTAAATACTAACTACATTGTTTTTCTTTTTGATTCAGAATCCAGCAGTTTAAAAAAATATTGCCTGTATAAACTTGATTCTAGGTTATGATAAGGATGAGCCAATTAAGATGGGTGAATTCTTTACAAAACTAGACAAGCTAGTACTTTAAACAGATTTTTTTTTAGAATTATCTCATGACTGTATGAGGTCTTTTTACTAGGAACCATTTTTCTTTTAATTAAGTTTGCATTCAATTTAGAAGCAGAGAGGTGAGCTCAGTTTGTAGTTATATATGTCAATTAAAGGAAGAAGAGACATGGATTATATGTTAACGGTTGCTTTAAATTACCAATTTAATGTGGTTTTATGTGATGTAAAAAGTGGTTCCCAAACTTTTACAGACCCATGTAAAAACATGGAAGAAACAAAAACCACTGGGGACCGACAAATGGAATGACATTTAAATTTTTTTTATTTTTGTCCAGAAGGATATTTTAAACTGCTGTTTAAAAATTTAAAGGAAAGAATATCTTAACACCATGAAAAATAAGGGAAGTATTTTGGAATTTAAAATTTAACAAAACTAGCCTATCTGAATAAATTTCATGTTTTGGGGGGGGGGGTTTGGTTTGAGGCAGTGAAAAATTTTGTCTTGGCCTAGTGTGGGGATTACTAAAGTGTTAAAGCAGACACAGCATTTATTGTGTGTCAAGTGCTGTTCTAAATGTTTCTCCTGCATGAACTCATTTAAACTCACAACATGTGAGGTAGTTACTCTTATTACCTCTGTTCTACAGGGGAGGAAATGAAAGCACCTCTGAACTACCACACTGTACTGCCTCTCATGTTTAAACTGTTACTTCTGTGCTTAATCTGAACTCTTATCAGCTTAGTCCAGTGGTTATTGGTCGTGTCGTTAATAGGTGAAGAGGAAGTCCTTGCTTCACACATCTAATTTTGGATAATTTGGATTTCAAACAAGATAAGACCAATATGGTTTTTCCTTGTACAGGAATGTAGGCTTTTTAGATTCTAAAAGGTAATACATATTTCAGCTGCTAGAGCTGACATTGAAAATTTAGTGTTGAAGGAGTTAAGTGATCCCATGCTTTAATAAAATTTTGTTGGTGATTTTTCATAAAATTTTGGGGGCTAGCCTGTATTTTCAACTAAAGCTGAAAGCAACAGTAAATTTCTTTCTGTAAATTTAATGAAAATTTAGTAATCTAACAAATTTAAAAGTATTTCTCTTTAGCTACTGCTTTACATGAAGGTGCTAAAATGATAACTTGGTGCCGCGTCTATTTTAAACATTTTGAGAATTTGTGAATAATATTTATATAGTCATGGAGCCAGAAGTATTTGATTGTCTAGTCCAGTGGTTTTTAAACTGTACTCCCAAGAGCTGTGGAGTCTGGAAGAAGCACCTCAGGGATCCTTCAAAAAGAGAGGACTGGGGGTTCTGGGTCCCTGCTTAGACTTTAAACCAGCACTACTTTTCATCTGTTTCATACATTTTGTGGTAAATTTTTTGAAAGAGGGTTTGACTGGTTTAAAAAACAACAGCATAAACTAGAGTTTGGAAACCACTGATCTCATTCAAAACCTTTTTACAGATGAGAAAGAGGCCTCTCTGTTAGGTAACTTGTTAGAGGCCTCCCGAAACTCAACATTTGTATAATTATTCTTTCCATTTACAAAAAGTCATCAGCTGTATTCTCACCTGGGAGGTGCACTGTACTCTGACCCGCAGGGTGTTGCTCAGGCCATGATCCAGTCTTTTCAGTTGTCCTCTTGCGCAGTCTCCAGTGCCCAGCTGCAGGATGTAAGTCCCACGCATCTGTGGGAGGATGCCTTCTCCTGTTTTATCTGCCTTTTCTTCAGCTCACATGTGCCTTTTCATTGTTTGCTTTATTTGTTAAAGCCTAGAAGATTGATAGATGATAATGTCAGTAATGACAGTAATAATCTGAAATGAACTTTATAGTATAGTATTCTTCAAAGCGTTTCACATTTGATTCTTACTACCTCCACCCTAATATAGGGATGGAGTGTATCCATTTTATAGATAAGGAAATCGCAGCACAGAAGACTAAGCGGTCCACTTGAAGTCACAAACGATATTAATGGTAGAACTGGGATTAGAACACTCCGAACAGTGTTCTTTTTTCCTACCTCGCCACAAATTTTGAGATTTTCATTTCCAAGAAGTAGCTTCCCAAGAGTATTTTATAAACTTTGCACATGTGAGAAATTGAATGCTGTGATTAGATTTTTATCTTTGTGTGAAGTGACATTTTGATTCTATATATGTTATATATATGTTTTAATTATGGATATGGTCAGAAAAGGCATATTAAATGTGATCATAGTTCCATTTAACTTTAGTTTTCACTATTCAAATTGTATAAGGAATAGTAAGTTGTTCTTCCCCTTGCTGTAGTTTTAAATTAAGTCTGGAATTGCAGGCTCTATTCTTTCTCACAGTTTCTATGGGGAAGTGACTAGCTCACTTAATGCTATAATTTTTGTTTTTGATGTTTGATATACACAACTGGAGTTGATTTCACCCATTCCTTTCCCCTCTCCTGAAATTAGACTTATTTTTTTTTTGTTATTATTGGCAGCTGTTGGACTCTGTAGTTTTCTAAAGAGTAAGCAAAACAATTTTTTTTAATGAGAGGGAGAAATTATGAATTAAGATCACTTTTCTGATCATTACCATTTTTATCCTTTGAATTAGAAATAAATTCTGTACAAATAGCCCAATATAACATAACCCTTTCTTATAGTTTTCTAGAATCCGAAGTTGTGTTTTTAATATTTATAGTTGTCTGATTAATATGACAAAATTCCTTATCAGCATTTAAACTTACACTTTTAAAGGGTGCATTTTATAGTTTCTGTGTTGATTTAAATTGTTACTTTTATTGATCAAATCCATCTTTTTTTTTTGGGTAAATTTGTTCAGTCTTTTTGGAATGTAAGATCACTTTTCTTTTAGATCTTAAGAATAATTTCCAATTACAAATTCCAATGTGAATGTGTTATACTTGGCTTTTGTAGTTAGGAAATTTAAAGAAAGCTCACTAATATCAAAATTTTATTTCTTTTGAAGTAACAAAATATACGAATTAGTGTGTGAGGGACCTGGACCTCTCAGGTAATTTTTACCTTTAATATAGAAGATTATTTGAGGTGCCTGGCTTGCTCAGTTGGGAGAGCATATGACTCTTGATGTTGCGGTTGTGAGTTGCAGCCCCAGTTTGGGGTAGGGATAAATAAATAAATAAAAATAAATATCGAGATTAAAATAAATGAAGGAAGGAAGAAAAGAAGTAAAGAAAATTGTTTGCATAGTATTCTTGACTATGTAATTATCTAGACTTTGCTTAATTATTTAAGTCCTTGGCTCTGGAAGACAACTGGTGTCTTTGCTAATTCTCATTGTTGAAGGCACTTGCATACATTGCCTACCTTGACTCTTACCTGTCAACTCTTATTTTACTTTCTGGAGCAGCACAATGGTAGTTCTGCCTCCTTCTGTATAACAGTCTTAGCTCTTATTTTCCCCTGATGGATTAGCTGCTTCAGGACAGGCTTCTGTAATTCTTTCCATTATTCATTGTGTGGCATGGTTTCTAGACCCTGTATTCACAGCTTTCTGTTTTCTGTGGTTTACTTTTGAACTTCTGAAAATGTGATACTAAGGGAAGAGACCCACTATTCTTTATGTGGGCATACAGAACCAATTTCGGATCACTGGAATGGAAGGTCCTTAAAGGCAGTACTGTCTTTTCTTAATTTTAGTAGCCCCTTTAGTGGTACAGTGCCTAGCATTAGTAAATACTTAATAAAGATTTTCTTTGAACTGAACTGTCATCTTGCTTAATCTAGACAAATATAATAATATGACCAAGAATTAAACTCACAAGAAATTCCATTTACTTTTTTAGTGGCACTGGCATGTATTTACTCTTCTTAATTTTCACATAAATATTTATTCACCCTCATCTTGTACTTTTGCATTTACTTGAGCCTAAATGTAGTATTTATATTGATGGTAGTTAATTTGGGCCCATTGTTTCTGTCTACAGAGATATTTTTTAAAAGTCCTTTATACACGTTAATGGTACAGATGTGAAAACCTTTTGCTATATCTGCAGGTTATATTAAGTTATAGATTATATGTTAAGTATTGTACAAGTTTGTACATAGAAATTTTACTATGAAATTAGAGAAACAATTTAGTTTTTATTGTGTGATATTTACTGTAGGAAAATGACCAGCTTGAACAACTTTCTTATAATTGCCTAAAAAATAGGCATGGAGATTTCATATCTCTTTAAATAAAACTCAAAAGGCCTTATTCTAGATAGTTGAAATTAAATATTCATTGTGGCTTTTTTTCTGTGATAAAAACTTGGCTGTGGTGAAGCTCACAATTGTATTTTACAGAGGGAATTCATTAGTCTTTCTGCTAGTGTGTAATTGTATTTATGCTGAAGTACAAATTATGACACGGATGAGACAGCAGTATCTATAACTCCAGATTACTTTAACAGGGCGTCATGAATGGTAAGACCTAATTCTCACCTCCAGACACATAGTAAGGCATGCACCTTAAGGAACACGGCTACACTCACTCTCAGTGCATTGAAGACCAGGCTGGTAGTGATCCAGATCCTGTCAGACTCTGTCAAAGGCACAAAGAGTAGATCCAAAATGGACCTTGAGGTTTTATCTTCTCTTGGATGTGCAAGAGGAGGGATTATAGGTGGAGTGCCACTTCAATCTTAAATTTCTAAATCCACACTCAAATTGATCAGAATATCCCTTGAGCTAATCATATATAGATAGACTGCTGTAACTGCCAAAAGAGGGATGGAGAGCCGAACATTTACTGGCAAAATTTACATTTCTTCAATTTGGATATTGTTCCTTTTCTTCTGTGAATGTGCAATCTAGCATAAAGACCATAAGTCACTTTAACATTTCCTTTTCTTACACAGTTATCGAAGGATTTTTTTTTAAAGCATAAATTTTTGCATTTGGGCAAATAGTATGTACTCAGTAAATATTTGTTGAATGAATGAGTGAATCCCAAACATGTTGGCAGAAGTTTTTGGCTATCAGGAATGTGTGTGTGTGTGTGTGTGTGTTCATGTATTTATTTATTTATAAAATGTAACTCACTTTATGAGTCCTAGATCACATTTCTCTAGCAATGCACTATTTCTCATTAAGTCCATAAACTGTTGTTCTTTTTAGGCACATGCTAGAGATACAGAAACTATTTCTCTGTTAGTGTTGCCATGGTATTACTTCCTAAGTCTTTATTTCTTGGAAAAATAGAGATGTTAAATATTCTTTTTTTTTTTTTTTAATTTTTTTTCAACATTTATTTATTTTTGGGACAGAGAGAGACAGAGCACGAACGGGGGAGGGGCAGAGAGAGAGGGAGACACAGAATCGGAAACAGGCTCCAGGCTCTGAGCCATCAGCCCAGAGCCCGACGCGGGGCTCGAACTCCCGGACCACGAGATCGTGACCTGGCTGAAGTCGGACGCTTAACCGACTGCGCCACCCAGGCGCCCCGAGATGTTAAATATTCTGATATGTGTTTTACTTATTTGCTCTTTATTCTCTTTTTCATAAAAGGCATTTTGTTTTTGCTTGTTTTATCCACACCGTAGTGTAATGAATGATCAGTTTTAGAAGCTCTAAATTTATTATTTTCCTAAAGATGTTCGTATCATAGGGCATTCTGAGTGGGTGACTTCTTTCATGTGTATTATTTTTAATACTGAGTTTAGAGTATTATGTATCCTAGTACTTTTTTCTGGGCTTGAATTGAGTGACTAATACATTTATATATTGCTATATAATTGGTGATTTTTAAATCCAGTTAACTTTAGAAACTTGGTTTAGAAATCTTGATAGCTACTAATGTATATAGTCATATAGATAAATGGATGTTTCACTCAGTAGATGCTTATTAACTCATGGTTAACTGTCTAATAGGAACAGGAATTTGTTCAGAAGCAACAACAAGAATTAGATGGCTCTCTGAAAAAGATCATCCAACAGCAGAAGGCAGAACTGGCCAATATTGAAAGAGAGTGCCTGAATAACAAACAGCAGCTCATGAGAGGTATGTGAAATTACACAGCATATGTGTATATATAAAATGGTATCTGAAGACCATTGCTAAGATATATGTGTATATCTAGTATCCATAATATCGAATAATTGGAAATTATGTGAATGCTTTCCTTTGCTAAAGTGGTAGAAAGATGAAGTTAATAAGAGGAAAAGCTTTATGTAAAATTTTAAGCATTTAAATTTTTAAAATTCTTTATAAAGTTAAATACTGTAAGACATAGAATGAATGCCTTTGTGACAGAAGTGAACATAAACATACAATCCTTAAAACATCTTATTGTGCAGATGATGCTAAAGCCTTACCTGAATAGTTTTGTATACTCATTATGCCTTACAATTGTTGGTATACTTAATGGCATCATGACAGAATGGGATTTTAACAAAAAGCTTAGATTTTTTTATTTTTCATTAAGATGGTTAAAAGGAATTTTGGTATTGTGGGTGGGGCATTTTCTGTTTATAGAGCATCAGAACAGAATGGTAAATAGTGGTAGATATTATCTGTCCATTGATAATATTTCATTTATAGTTCACAATGTCAGTGTGCATGTAAGTTACTGTATGTAGAACACATTTATGTAAATATTAAAATGAACTCCAAAGTACATTAGTAAAAAGAACAAAGTGACATTTTGAAAATTGCTTTCTTCTAGCTCGAGAAGCTGCAATTTGGGAGCTTGAAGAACGACACTTACAAGAAAAACACCAGCTGCTCAAACAGCAACTTAAAGATCAGTATTTCATGCAAAGACATCAGCTACTTAAGCGCCATGAGAAGGTTAATGAAAGGAAAATTGGTTTACTTTTTGTTCATTTGAAGTTTGCAGAGTTATTCATTTTTGAAACTTCTATTTCGTAGAGAATGAATTTTAGATTTCCTTTCTATTTTTTTAATCCTAAAATTTCTTTGGTGAAGTTTGGAGTAATTAATTGTATCTTGATCATGATTGCAAACTTCTTTTCTATGAGTTTCATGGAAGGTGACTGATTTCAATGCTTAAGTCCTCTTCTACATTATAATCTTCATGCTGTCTCAAAGGTAGCTATTGTGGCCCCATTTATGGTTCAGATACCTTAAAAAATGTGGACTTTCTGACTTAGTAATGAGAATTTCAATATAAGACTCTTATATAAAGCTTACTAATAGCTTTATTTTTGTTATAAATTATATTTTGACTAAAAGTTTGCTGGTTGGTAATACAACAAGGGAGGGAGTGATTTTGGGAAACACCACAAGAACATGTTTGAGCATACATGTGGGTACTGAGTATTAAATTATATTTAGGGGCACCTGCATGGTTTAGTCAGCTGAACATCCAGCTATGGCTCAGGTCATAATTTCATGGTTTGTGGGTTCAAGCCTCACATTGGGCTCTGTGCTGATAGCTCAGAGCCTGGAGCCTGCTTTGGATTCTGTGTGTCCCTCTCTCTCTCTGCCTCTCCCTTGCATGCACTCTGTCTCTCTCTCTCAAATAAAAAAAATAAATAAAAAATTAAAATTTTAAATTATATCTACATCACAAGATTGTGTTTGATACTTTCTTAGGAAACAGAACAAATGCAGCGTTATAATCAACGACTTATTGAGGAATTGAAAAACAGACAGACTCAAGAAAGAGCAAGACTGCCTAAGATTCAGCGCAGTGAAGCCAAGACTCGAATGGCCATGTTTAAGAAAAGCTTGAGAATTAACTCAACGGCCACACCAGATCAGGACCGTGACAAAATTAAGCAGGTACATAAGCCAATTATTCTCTTCTTTTTTAAGTTTAAAAAACTGGAATGTCCTTTAGAAGTGTCAGATAATTATGTCATAAACATTTCGAGCCCCTTTGGGCTTGTTGGTATTTTCTTTGGCTCTGTGGACTGGGGCTGGTTATGTGGCATATACCACCTTAGTATTCCTAGGGTGGTGGCCACAGAGGGCTCCAGGCCCCACACCAGCTCTTGGGCCCTAAAACCAACCTTGGGAATTCGGTGACTTGCACAGCTTTTGAAGTTAAAATGTAGGGGCCTCACTGTGCTTCTGCAGTCTCAGGTACCCCACATAAATGAACTGTGGTCACTGATCAGGTAGGAGGAACAAGGTACCAGAAGTCCACCCCCCGTCCAAAGCCGTAATGTCGACTCCAGCTTGAGTCACAGTACGTTACTCGTGCTTGCAGCTTTAGTTTATTGTACTTTAAGATTTGTTAAGTTCCTTAATTATTCCTTTAGAAGATGGAGAAATTATATTGCTTGTTAACAGTATTTTCTTTTTCTTATTTATAGTTTGCTGCTCAAGAAGAAAAGAGGCAGAAAAATGAGAGAATGGCTCAGCATCAGAAACATGAAAATCAAATGCGGGATCTTCAGTTGCAGTGTGAAGCCAATGTCCGAGAGCTGCATCAGCTGCAGGTCAGATAGAGAAGCATGAGAACTGAGCTGGTGGGAGCAGGGCAGCACAAGTGGTGGTTTGGAGAAAACAGTAGCTAACTGGGATAAACTGTACTGTACTCATGGAAATGCTGGGATTGAGAGATTTGTTTTCTGTATAGACTCGAGTAAAGATCAGGTTAGTATCATAGGCACTTGTTGAGAGTTTATATAACCATGATTAATATAAACATGAAGCTAAATTGTAAACCTAAGAAGTTGAGTCTTTCAAAAGCAGTATTGAGTTATTTGTAGTCTCTTTTGCAAAGAAGATGACAAAGTTTTCAAAATGAGGTAGGTGGTTTTGTTGGCAGATTCTGCATTCAAAATTTCATTTAGGGAGAAATAGTTCATTTTCTTCTAGTTTTTGAAAAAAGTGATGGACTAAATATATGAAAATTTTTCTCAAGACATTTAAAGGTTACCCTAGGGGGACTGTTTTGGGACCTTACCTGGAGTGTGCAGCCCACCCAGTATATAGTCTAAAATGTTTAAGATTTCAGAATAGTGTATACTTTATGTATACTCTTCATATTCTCTTAATTTACTAAAGTAGAATAGTCCTGATCCCACATTCTGGCACCAATGGTAAATGCATAAGAAGATGCCCTTTGAAGTGTAAGTTTTATGAGCAAACCTTCTTAGAAAGGAAAAGTAGGATCAAACTAATTCTATTTTAGTTCATTTCATATGGTAACAGTTCTAACTTCTAAACTTGCAAAAATGAAGCTATGACTCATTTCATAGTTCTTGGCCCTGGGTTTTTAGAGGAGAATCTGAACCTCAGTAATAGTTTGATGTTTGATGAATACTTATTATTTTGAAAGGTAATTATATTTGTGAAAATTTGCTTAGTTGATTGGAAATTTTTTAACCCAAACTTTATTTTCAGAATGAAAAATGCCACCTATTGGTAGAACATGAAACTCAGAAACTCAAGGAATTAGATGAGGAACACAGCCAAGAATTAAAGGAATGGAGAGAGAAATTGAGACCTAGGAAAAAGGTAATTTTAAAAGCCTTAGTTGGGGCGCCTGGGTGGCGCAGTCGGTTAAGCATCCGACTTCAGCCAGGTCACGATCTCACGGTCCGTGAGCTCGAGCCCCGCGTCGGGCTCTGGGCTGATGGCTCAGAGCCTGGAGCCTGTTTCCGATTCTGTGTCTCCCTCTCTCTCTGCCCCTCCCCCGTTCATGCTCTGTCTCTCTCTGTCCCAAAAATAAAGAAACGTTGAAAAAAAAAAATTTAAAAGCTTTAGTTAAAATATGTTTATGTTCATCCATTCATCCACCCAGTTATTGGCTGTTTACATAATATATATCAGGTACAGTGTCAGGGACAGGAGATACAGAGATGAAGAGACAAAGCCCCTGTCCCTCAAATGTTCAGAATGTAGTGACACACGATTACAGATGAGTAGGATCATTGCTCTGAAGGAGGTAAGTATAGGAGATGGGACGGGAGCACAGTGTTCAGGCCAAAGAGGAAGAATGCTTCAGTCTGGGAAGTTGGGGAGGCTTTACAGAGAAGATGCATTGTAAGCCAAGTGAGACTCAGGATAAGATCTTGCTAGGCATACAAACAGGTTGGGGTGTGATGGGCAGTCTAAGTACAGCGATGAGAATGGGTGAAAATGGTGTGTACAGGAATCGTAAGTAGCTCCCTGTCATTGGGGCGCTGGGGGAGTGTGCCTTGGTGTCGGCATTAAGGAGGGAGAGAAAGAAGGAAGTGATGACAACTCAATCTGGACAAGTTGGCTGGAGCCAGATTACAAGGCCCTCATATGACAGTAAATTGACAATCTAGTAAAATAGGGAAGGCTTCCCTCCTGCCATCTAGCTCTCAGCCATCTTCCTTTTTTGTACTTGCTTTTTGATTCCCTGCTGGCCTGGTCCAATTGGTCAACCATTTCAACTCATTTTTTTTTCTGTCACTATGTGATCCTCTCCCTTTGCTAACTCTCAAACCTTTATTTTCTCTTGGGCTTCCTGCCTGCTACACCTTTTGACCATTCCTTTCTTCCATTTATCCAGTTAGTCAATTAAATATATGTAAGTAGCACCTACTATGTGCTAAATGTTTCTAGAAAAAGTGAAATGACCAAGTCAGTTAATAGTATGGCTTTTTTTTTTTAATATTTAAATTTTTTTGTAGAGAGATCACAGAGGAGAGGGGCAGAGAAGGGGAGAGAGAGAGTGAGGGAGTGTCTCAAGCAGGCTCCACGCTGAGCTGACATGGGGCTCCATCCCATGACCCTGGGATCATGAGCCAAAATCACCAGTTGGACACACAACCAACTGAGCCATTTAGGTGCCTCAGATACTCAGTATGGCTTTTTAATTTAAACTTTATTTATTGTTAAATTTTTGAATAGGTAATACATTCATGTGGATTGACATTCTAAAAGTAGGGAAGGACCTTTCTCCAGTTTCTTTAGCTCTTTGCAGTCTAGCTTTCACCTCAGACTCCCCAGTTGAACTCATTGACTGTGGTCATAAGTGAGTTGCTAACAGCCAAATCCTATGGTGTTATTGAACTGTTGTTAAAAATCTTCTTTCTTAAAATTCTCTTCTCATCTGACTTTTGTGACTCTCTTCTTTCTCTGTGCTCTTTATCACTTTTTCTCTGTCTTCTAGTTATCTGAAACATAGACATCTCCCATCTTTACACCCTTGATGATCCTGTGCCTAGTCATGGCTTCATCTATCACATATTTAAGGACAATTCCTGGGGCACCTGGGTGGCTCAGTCAGTTAAGTGTCTGACTGGCTCAGGTCATGATCTTACTGGTCATGGGTTCAAGCCCTCGTCAGGCTGTATGCTGACAGCTCAGAGCCTGGAGCCTGCTTTGGATTCTCTTGTCTCCCTCTCTCTCTGCCCTCCCCTACTCGCATTCTGTCTATCTCAAAAATAAAATAAATGTTAAAAAAAAATAAGGATGATTCCAGAACTTGGAGGGGTTCTAAAGTCCTGCAGATCCGGGTTCAAGGCTTAGTGCTGTCATGATTAATTCTGTCACTTAACATTCCTAAGCCTAGTTTTACTCATTAGTAAAACAAAGATGACACTACATACCTAATAGGGGTTGTTAAGACAGTTGAAAGAAGTGATGTTCTTTCAAAGACAACACTTCCTAGTACCTGAGCTGTAGTTAGGGTTCAATGAATGTCTGCTGTTGCTATTATTTAATTTGTTTTTAGAGAGAGAGAGTGTGCACATATGTGGGTTAGGGGCAGAGAGAGAATCTGAAGCACGCTCTGTGCTATCAGCTTGGAGCCTGATGCAGGGCTCAATCTCATGAACTGTGAGGTCAAGACCTGAGACAAAATCAGGAGTTCAGACGCCTGACTGACTGAGCCACCCAAGTGTCCCTGCTATTGCTATTGTTTATTGTCTTATTATTGGTTCATGTCCTAAGCACCCATTTTCCACCTGGATGTTCCATTCCTTCTTATATCATTCAGGCCTCTGTTCCAACATCTCGTCGAAGGTTTCTCTTTCTGACGACCATATATAAAATAGCCCCCATGCTCCCCTCAGACATTCCCTGTCCCTTCACCTTTGTTTTCCTTCATAACATTCTTCACCAGCAGACAGACACTTGTTTATTGTTTGTCTTCTCCCACAAGAATGTATGCTCCTTGAAAGCAGGGACATTATCTCTTTGTTCACTGATACGTATCTGCTTCTAGCACAGTTCCTGGCAAATTGTAACGATCAATACATACCTGTTGAGTGTTTACTGAAGATTGTGAACTCGGAGAAGATCAAACTGAACTCAGCAGCCTTTCTCCTTCATCTCCACCTCACTTTTCCCACATTCAGTCCCACCTACCAATAGTGTTCTTTCCTATACCCCGTCTTCTTAATTACATCTAGTCTAGCAATGTGAATTATCTTTCATTTCCATCACATCCCATTTCAGTGAGATGACAAATAACTTTGACTCTCTCTTTATAATATTTCTCTTTCCCATTGCTATCATTCTGCTTGCTTAAAATTGGCCTTCTGATCTCGAGTTCCTTTTCGTTTCTTCCTACTTGCCCGCTATCACCAGAGTATATTCAAGAATGTCTGACACTGGCATTGTGGTATTGATAAATCTACAGTTCCATCAGAATAAAATAGAAATGCTTCATTTTGACTTGGAAGCTGTCATAGTGCCATACATTGGCCGCAGTCAATTTTTTTGTTCTTTTTTTAATGTTTATTTTTGAGAGAGAGAGTGTGAGTGAGGGAGGGACAGAGAGAGAGGGTGACACAGAATTTGAAGCAGGCTCCAGGCTCTGAGCTGTCAGCACAGAGCCAGATGCGGGGCTCAAATCCATGAACTGTGAGCTCATGACCTGACACAAAGTCAGACGCTCTACCAACTGAGCCATCCAGGTGCCGCGGCCACAGTCAGACTTTCTAACTGCATCTTCCACGGGCCACTTTCTGCCTGTTCATATTCTGGTATTGAGTCTAATCACCATTACTCACACCAAGTCTGTGGTTTCCTGTCTGTGTGCATTGTTTCAGTCCCCTCTGTCTGGCATGCCTTCCACATCCTGTCTATCAAATTTTTATCTTTCCTTCAAGGCTGAGCTCCTGTTTCACCTCTGAAAAACCTTCCTGTTTCTTTCCATTTTCTCCTAAACTTTGTGCCTCTACAGCAGCACTTATCCCTGAGTCATTTGTCCACAAAGTCATCGATACCTAGAGTATTTATCAAGTACTTACTACATTTGCTCTGTATTGTGTAAAGATGAATCCGCTTTAGGGCTTACCTTCAAACAGCTTCTTATCTAGTGTGGAAGAAAAGACCTGCACACCAAAAATCAAAATAAAAAACAGAAAACGGAAAGTGCCATGTGGGAGAGACAGGTAATAGTTAATAATAGATGCCATCTTTTGAGTGCCTAGTATGTTTCACATTTAACCCTCACATAGCAACCCATTGAGGTAGGGGATATAGTGATATAGTCCCTATTTTACAACAGAAGAATAAAATGCATCTGTAATAGGGAGAAGGTAAGTAATTGACCCAAGTTATATACATTCACATGGCTGAGCCAGAGGCTTGAGTCTAGGGCTGTTCACAGCCTATTCTAAATGTTGAGCACTCTGGTCTTCCTTAGGATAGCATACAGAGAGAGTGTTTTGAGCAAATAGTTTTATTCTTGGCTGTCAGAGTAAATTCTATTTGTAATACCAGCACATAATTTCTTTTTCCCTTCCTTTTTAAGACACTGGAAGAAGAGTTTGCCAGGAAACTGCAGGAACAGGAGGTGTTCTTTAAAATGACTGGGGAGTCTGAATGCCTTAACCCATCAGCACAGAGCCGGATTTCCAAGTTTTATCCTATCCCTAGCTTGCATTCCACAGGGTCGTAACAGTAGGAAGCAGTCTGTGGTTCGGTTTGGCTTTTTAAATATGTCATTCTGTTCTCTTCATCTTCTGCCACAATCTATATCAGAGAGCTTATGAAGACAATCACCTGCCTCACCTTCTAGGTGTTTTTTGTTTATTTGTTTGTTTGTTTGTTTAGCAAAGATGAAGGGAAAGGAACCGTGACAGATGCTAGGCCATGTTGGCGAAGTGGCATCTTGCAGTAATTCCCTAAGGTGATTTTGTATATTAATCTTAAAAATTGTGTTCTTTAGACACTGTTAGGTGAAATACTTTAGAAATAAAATGTTTGAGGTGTTTGTTTTTTTTTTTTAAAGCTGTTAGGTCACTGAGTATTAGTGAATATCTTTTTACCTGACCTAACTTCTCAGTGATGCCTAAATTCTGTAGTTGCAACTCTGCTGTAGAGAGTTGGAATAATTTTATTTTGGTGAATCTGCTCTCATGAAAAAGCTATGAGTTGCTCAAAATACCATATTGGTTGAGTAAATAAATCTATTTTATCTTTAAATAGCAACAAACTTTTTAAAAAGAAACATTATTTCAATAGTTTGTCTAAAATAATTACTTTCAGTCATGAGCTAAAAATTAAGGGTGCTAGTTTTATTAAAATAGTGCCTAAAACACTAAATTTCATTGGAGTCTAAAGTAGGATTTTCTCTTGATTCAACAGGGACAAACATCCTTAGCATTAAACATTATTGTATTTTAAGTCTTGCTCCTGTTACCATTTGATGAAATTTCCATCCTAAAATCTATGTTTTGCAAGGTTGGAAAGATGTAAAAAAAGTAGCTTTTAGATACTGAAATTCGGCATGTAACACTCACCAAATTAAAAGTATAGACTTAGCATTCCAGCTCATTTCCTAAAATAGTCTGTGAGCTGGGCAAGGGACCTCTTCCATCCTAGCACACTTCGTCCATTGAAGGCTCTGCAGGCTCTGCGTTAAATGTACTTTTTGAAATTAATCTTAAAAGAGGCATTTGTTCAGAATACTTTTTCAGAAAGCATTTAAATAAAATACTTAGGCAACGTCAGAAATGACTGTGTTGTTGAGAGAAAGTCATTTGTATTTTGGTTTTATTTAGTTCCATGTTTAAATTATTTGATTTGAATGGGAAAAGCCTGACACCTTTACCATCTGGTTGCTGATATGTGTAATTATTAATGAAATGTTCACTCTTGGTCCCTCTTGCGGCTTAGAATTCCAAGCCCGCGTCAGGTCAAGCAGTATTATGAAATGTAGTTGGGTCAGTGAGACGGCACATTTGTAAATCATGCTTGCTGCTTGCCACTTCCAGCCTGTTCTCTTCGAAGAGTACCAGGTACCAAGTTGTGGAAGTTTCATTTTTTAGTTACGTTACGTTTGAGGCTGGTGAAAAATTAAAGATTAATTTTGTGGGAACACTGATTCATATTAAGAAAATGTAAATATGTGTAGTAGCACTTTCTTGCAGTTAATTTGAAAACTTTGAATGCTGAACCTTATTTTGTCAGTGGTTTAGATGATTTAAAAATGCATGTGTGATTTTAATTTTGTAATTGTTTTGACAAGCATAATTTCTTGGACAACTTTGTAGGTAGCCTTAACTTCTGGCCAAGTTTGTTTTTTATAGAAGTATATATACATATATATATATACATATATATATATTATGTATGGTTGTAAATTCATACACTTATCACATTGAATGTGTTGCTGTATACAAAACTCTTTTAATGCTTTATTCTCAAATGCTGGGTTGAAAAATGTTTTGAAAGCCTTTTAAAGTATATATCTTTATAAAGTAATATTCAGGATGATGATGGAAATTGTTTATATTATTATGATAAAAATGACATTATAATGTTACCCAATGTATTTAATGATTTATTTGCAGAGGGAGAGAGGAGGAAGGTTCTTACTACTCTCTCCTTTGAAATTTTCAGTTTATTGGCTTTATAAAAAGAATTCAGGTAGTGGACATTTTTTCAGTATCTTTTAAAGGATATCCTGTGTGCTAAATAGCTTGTGGCACATAATCAATTTAGTCTGAATATTTGATTCTTTTTATTCTTTTCAACTTGTCGTGAGAGTATTGAATAAAGAAAAGAGGCTCAGAGTAGAATGGTTGACACTCTGGTAAATTTATTAGCAAATCTTGTAAAACCCTTAAAACTGCCCTTTGGATTCAGTGTCCTTGCTGGAGTTCTCTTTCATATATAACCATACTCATGTGGGTGCAGGACTGCAAAATGATACATACGTAGAGATGAACAATTCATTTTAACGCTTAAGTTACATAAATCTTTGCAAAAAGCATTTTGTTACAGAATATGCTGTTTTTACCCGTCCCCGCTCACTTCTTGTTAAGCCCTATATTCAAATAGATAATAGTGGTCATTTGTTCTTGCATGAAGTGTAGGTGGAGAACTGGGGACGGGCACAGACTTCTTTGAAGTCAAAGGGTACAGTCAGATCCATTCCGTTTTTGGTGGTGGTGTTGCTCTGGCAGGATGTGCTATGAAACACATCAAAGAAAGTCTGTGTGTGCCCCGACGCCAGCCTCCCTCTTCTCCCTGCGTGCTCTGAACACACCGCACGCCACACTTCTGCAGGCCTGGCTCCAGAGCCAGTTGCACCGGGTTGCCTTTCCTAGTCCTGTCCGTCTGTAGTTGAGTGTGAACTGCTGAGTTAGCTGCTATTCTTTGTGGAGTCACAATTAAGCTTTTCTTACCCTTTCCAGTGGGCAGTCTGTGGGGAGTGGGGGGTAAAGAGGAAATTGAGAGTGCTTATACTTTGTTGAAAATATTAGAACTTTCCTGTGACAGGACATGGCAAATTGTAATTAAATATAAACCGAACCAGAGCTACCTCTAAGTAGTGTTTCCTCAAGCACAAAGCTCTCAGGCATATGAGACCCGCTGTAACGGAGGGTCTCTGATTTCTTGAGCATCAGCGAGTTCAGAAGTGACTGTCTTTTGTACTCTGTTAGTTCCCTGGTGACTACACACTTTCTCCCATTCCACACTGTGCTTAAATGACAAAGACTCTTCTGAGAAGCCAAATTCTGTCCGAGATTAGCTATAGATATTGATTACAGGAGAGCTTAGAACTGGCGTGGAAGAGGAGTTACTTTAGCTCCAGTTCTGAGAATCTTCTGATGAAATACATCACTTCTTTTCAAGGAGACGATCTTTTATAGGAAATGGGATATTTTAAATGCTTTTCTTGAAGGCTCAACAGTTAATGTCTCTATTGTTGCTAGTCTGTGGCTGACATGGTTTTGACATGGCTTTAAAATTTCTGCTAAGCTTGAGTAGAATGTTACACCAGTTTTAAATGTTGGCTGCAGCTTTTGGTGATCCTTTGCTGATTTTTTACAGTGTAATAACCTCATAAGCTGTTTTCAAAATGAATTTTGTTTCTGATTATGCCTCTTGTCTATTTGGGAGCAACATGTCTTTTCAATCATGGGATTGACAACTGAAAAATAAAGTTATTTCTTAATCTACTCTGGCAAGTGGTCTTTTATTAAGAATCTTTGATACTGGGTTGTCCTGCATGAAAACGTTTGGCAGCATTTTTTGGTCCTAGTTACATCTTAAACCCTCACAGTCCTCCAAGCAGCTGGACCCTTCCAGACTTGCTAGTGTTCCCACCTGACTCATCACCACACACAAGAATGTAGTTTTTACTGCTAACTTGGAAAGGGGGTGTCTTTTAGGATATAAACCCCTCCTTTGGGTGGTGCCTAAAATAGTTCCATCGACATACATATATACATGTATGTATGTACACATATATATGCCCCCCCTCCCAGGATGGATCTTTTTTCTCACCAAATACTTCACTAACCATATGACCTCATTTCTGCTAAAAATAACCTCTTTTCCATCATTGATATGTTCGTGTAAGATTCAGTAGACACTAGGCAGCATCACTTGGCAGGTTTTTAGCTTGGCTGGAGGGAGGCATAGCATGTCATTTTCTAATCCAGGAGCATCACACATTTTTGAGCTCATTCTTTGTTTTGTTTTGTTTTGTTTTGTTTTTTTAAGTGAAAACAGGCTCAGATCCATTGCCATCCAGCCGAAGATTTATCTCGTTATCTGTCCTTCCCTTTCTGGTTCTGTCAGAGAAAGTAGCAGGTTTGGACCTTTATCATGTTTCGCTTGAGCATAGGACTCTATGAAGATTCTGGATAGCTTGGAAAGGTAAATCGAGTAAGGAAACACTCCAATCAAATCTGATTAATAAAGGTAAGAACGATCAAAGGGGGTGTAACACTTGAGCCTGTTAACTTGATTCAGCCTTTAAGCCTTAAGCTGTTAAAAAGGTGTGACGTGGTCATTCATTAAACAGTTGTCATTACATAGCAAAAAGTTTGAAATTCCGAGGGCCTTATGAACTCATTTTTTGGAATTCCTATGATGATTCCTAGCAGGTAGCTGTCAGACTGTGATAAAGGAGGCTGGCAGACCACGTAGAATGTGGCCTCACTGTGTGTTGCCGCTAGTTCAATACAGAACTAAAGGGTCCGTCTTCCCAGGACAGTATGTGAGGTACTCAGAAGAGACCACAGAGAAAGTAAACTATCCAGACTTTTTTAGAAGGTGGAGGTAGAGAAGTAGATTTATTTTAATCCCATTATTAATCTGGCAATTGAGAGTCATGGCTTGTAACATTTCACAAGTTGGCCAAGTGTAGCCTCTTCTGAAGTTGAGTGATTCTACTGTGCATTTCTGTGGGACATTTGATATTTGTGCAGTTTTCCTGTTAGTTTCGGTCTTCTGCATCTTGTGTGTGCCATACAATCCTAACTCCTTTGTGCTGGGATAAGTTATTGCATTAATTGCAGATAATCTTGTCGCTCGTCTGTTGCATAGGTGTTCATTTCAAATAATTTATGTTCAGGGAAAACCTTTAGATGCTTTGTAACCTGTCCACATTAATAGTTGTAGATCAAGGTCTGCCTATAAAAATCTCCATGATTAAACAAAATGCCAGAGGCTGTGTTCCAAGTACACCTAGTTTTGTTTTCTTGTGTTTATAGTAGTGTTATTAGCATAGGGTTCACACTTTTTTTTTTTTACCTTTCTCTCCCCTTTTGTTTCTCTTTTCATCTCTCTCCCCTTTTTCATTCTATTTCCTTGCATCTCTTTCTCCCTCTCTTCCCATCTGTTTTTCTCTTCCTCTTTTTATCTCTCTTCCCTCTCTCTCTTGCTTTGTCTCTTTCCTCTTTCCCTTTTTCATTTTTTTTTTAACGTTTATTTATTTTTGAGACCGAGAGAGACAAAGCATGAACAGGGGAGGGGCAGAGAGAGAGGGAGACACAGAATCTGAAACGGGCTCCAGGCTCTGAGCTGTCAACACAGAGCCCAACGCGGGGCTCGAACTCACGGATCGTGAGATCGTGACCTGAGCTGAAGTCGGCTGCTTAACCGACTGAGCCACCCAGGCGCCCCTTTCCCTTTTTCATTTTTATTCCCTTTCTTTCCTGTTCTTTCTTGTCTCTATTTCCCCCTTTGTCTCCCCACCTGGCCCCCAGTTTTTCTCTCCCCATTTCTCTTCCCTGCTTTGTCTCCCTCTCTCCCCAACCGCGTATCACCACCTTCCCTCTTCCCTTCTCTTCATTCTGTCGCTTTCTCTCACTTTGATTAGATGGATCACAGTAAACGTAATATTTAGAAAAACTCTTTAATTGGAAATTTTGTATCTGAAATGACTTTTCATCTAACAGACCACATACATATTTTAGGTACTGAAAAGTGCTTAAAAACCAACCATGCCCAGTGCCCCATGCCATTTCCCGTGTGCAGAACAAAATGACATCTTTCCTAGCATCGAGTTTCCTATTTTCCCTCCTTCCCCGCTGCCCTTCTCCTCCCCCTTACTGTGATCAAGTTCAGTAGAACCCATCTCTAAAGGCCAGCATGGTGCCGCGGAAACCACAGCTACAATCATTCAGACGATCTAAGCAAGTGGGAACGAGGTCTGTGGCCAGAAAGGACTATTAGAAACCCTGTCACCATCTTCAGCGGAAGTGAGTTTAATTTTTTCAGTTACAAGAGTTGCTTCTTAGCCAAGTCTTTTCTATGACTAGAGAATGCGAAATGAACGGAGGAAGGAGCAGACGGTGCAGCCTTGCAGTGACAGAACCAGAACACTCCCCATTCCCGTCTTCCCTTTTCTGGTCATTTTCAGGCAAAGCTCAAGGACTCCTGAGCCCGCAAGTATGCACCTGGCTTTCCTGGGTTGCAGCTACATCTAAGAGCTAAGGAAACCAAGGAGCTCAGGTTGAGCCAGTAGCCAGTCTCGCTCGCCAGCGGAGCAGGTTCAGGTTGGGGGCCTTTGGATACTATATCTATATAGAGAGATGTAGATCTATATAGAGACTGTTCCAGACTAAAACAGGGGTTCTATTTGGCTGTGCTGGCTCGGTAGGAAGTGAGCCTCCAGCTTCTGCCCTCTGGAGAGAGTTTGACAGGAGCGTCATAAGCCATCGCATGAACTGGTGCCAGGGGCTGTTCCGCCAAGGGGAGCTCACGGCTTGATGGCGATGCTTCTCTTTCTCCGCCTGCCATAGACTTGGTCACCTAGAAGTTAGAGGAGGAAGTTAAACCTCCTGTGGCCTGTGGGCCTTTAGGTCAGCCAATTATAGCGACTGTTACAACTGCAGAATGGGCTTGTGAGATAAAGTTGCTTGTAAGACTCAGTTTCTTGACATAGTTTACCCTATTTCATCAGAGCGGTCCTCTTGTTCTCCACACACGGGCAGTCTTTCTCCCTAGCGGCTCATTGCACTGCCATGCCAACGGTGGTTGGGGCAGCATCTGCCTTCAGTAATCGGCATTCACCTTCAGTTTTCAGGGTTGTCCCGGAACAAATCCCCTACTTCTCTGAGCATCAGCCAGCCTCCCAGCCCTGCCTGAACTGGCAGCCACGGCTTACCTGTGTCTCCTTTCTCTCCCTTGTGCCCTTGAGGGCCGGGTGGCCCAGGCCGACCTGGTGGTCCTGCAGGGCCCCTCTCACCTGGGAGGACAGAGTGGGGTGTGCTCAGTCAAGTGGGAGCGCAGGACCCGGAGGAGCCACACGGGTCCCTGGATAGCACTGTCAAGGGGTGGCTTCCCAGCCAGAGTGGGTGGTCACAACGGGATCCCAGTAGCTGTCTCCCTGCCACCACTTACCTTTGGGTCCTGGGGTGCCCACCTCTCCTTTCTGCCCTGGGGGACCTGGAATGGTTCCATAAGCTGCGGGGAGACAAGAGTGGTCTCAGACAAGAGGTCACCCTGGAGTTTGGGAGGTAAAGGGCTTTGTTCAGAGAAGCACAGAAGGGAGAGGTACAGCTGGGACCCACAAGAAGAAAACGGACTTAAGAATTTATCAGATTTTCAGCCTTTCAAGTGTTAATAACTGAAGTTTTTCAGGAGACTTTCTCCCACTTGAGACCAGGCCGCAAGGTAAGTGTTGGGAAAGTGATCACGGGCTGCCCTTACTTCGGAAAAAGTCCATGAGGTCCTCGGTCACATTGCTGTAGGCAGAGAAGACCTTGCTGATGCCGGGGGGACCCTGCGGCCCTGGCCGGCCTGGTGGGCCCTGGATGGTGTAGGCCATCCCCTGCAGCAGACCCTGACCTGTGAAGCAACAGATTGTGGGCACAGGAAGCAGGGTCTCTCAGCCCCTCTTTGCAGGACAAGAGCCCTCGGGTTGCTGAACTCCCATGCCGTTAACCTAGATGAGGCAGCAGCAAGGGAGAAACCCTGCTGGTTTCCTGTGTCCCTCCCTGCGGACTGGCCCAGACCTCTGCTGCCGTGGCCTTTCCTCAGAGGCTTTCTGGCGGCAGAGCTGTGCTGGTAGCTACCGGGAGAAAGGACTTCTTAACCAACCTCCCCTCCCCCCCACCAGTAACCATCGTCATCATCAAAACTTCTGACAAGACCAGGTAGCAGGAGTAGCAAAAGTCCAAAGACCAACACGCCTTGTTCCCGGCCACACTGATCCCGTTCTGACTGGGGCTTCTGAACTAAGCTGGCCGAGAGAACTCGCCCTGGACCACCTGCCTTCCATCCCCCCACCGCCATCTGATGCCCGAAGTGCCGTCCCCGTAGCCTGGGTGCTCCGTAAATGAGAGGGGGAGTTTCTGGAGCTTGAAATTCAAGCTGCACAAGGGCTCCCACCCAACCTCTCGGCTGCGCTAAGGGTCATGACTTACGCTGCAAGCTCTCAGACACCCGAACAGCCAGCTCGTTGTAGTCCAGACTTCCGGCAAAGCCAGCCCCGAATGGTCCACCTTCGCCACCATACGTGCCACCTTCTGCCCCGTAGCCTCGGCCCAGGCCCATGTCCATACCAAAGGCCCCCCCTTCGCCCAGGGAGCCTCCGCTGGCTCCTCCTACGCCCATGGAAGAGCTGTAGGAGGTGCCCCGACTGACTGACGAGCTGTGAGAGGAGGAGCCGCTGCTCCGACTGTAGGAGCCGTCCATGGACACCAGGCGGCTGTCCCCCGGTGGC